CAGACAACCTCTCGTCAATATGCGTTTTTTGCATTGCATAGCTGCAAAAAACGCATAAAAATTGTCTTAAATACATTGTCAACCTTATGTCTTCTCGCTTATTTCCTATTCAAAGTTTTATCCGACAATTCTATGCAACAATTTGTCACAGAAAGTGAAGCATAAAAGACGTGAAACAAAGGGACTTGCTTACTGCAGACATTCGTGCAACGGTCGATTGAGATTCTGCATTTTGATGTGCTGATTACACGAGGAGACATCGTAGAACACATTACCCGGATCGCAGAAATAATCCAGTACATTATCCGGAGTGATGAAATTCGGTGGCCAATTAGGATTCCTGAACGATTGGTGGAGCAACGAAACGGGCGCTGTGGGCCCGGACTGCGAAGGCACATTCGGCATACCCATGTAGCCACCACCTGTGTGTGCTTCCTCACGTTATCATACAAATCACTGAGAAATATGTGCTACTGTCAAATGTTGAGAAATATAAAAGCTCAGTGAAATAGCTATCCAGGTAAGTGCCAAACCCAATAAGATTTTGTCTTGTACGGCGCACTAGAGGCTGAAATGGCAAAAGCAACAGGAAAGCACGGCAAAGCGAAGTGAGTGAAACTGTGGTACCTTGTGTCTGGCCCATCATCATGCCGCGACCAGCGCCAGCACTCTGCTGCTGCATCATCCCTTCCTGTAAACCAACTTTTATAGAAGAGCTTTTACAGGCTTTGCAAGCTGCGCGTTAATCAGAGTCAAACGTTACTGCCAAAACCCTTTCTGTACTTCGCTCAGTGAAAGGCGGAGGGACCCAGGAACTACCCCGATTGGTAGCAAATGCCAACAGCAACCACCAGATGGCAAGGCTGCCAGTGGTTCTTTTTTTTTTTGAGAAATGCTTACAAGCAAGATGAAGGCGTTAGTATGGAAGCCAAAGTTGCCATATGGCCAAACACTCATAGCCAAACCAACTCACTCAGACGACAGGCGTGGAAATATCGGCCTTATCACGATGTAGTCACAGGACGAGCGCCTCTACTCAAGGCCCTTCTGTCCTACAGGGTCTACCTCCAACGCACACAAATGCTCACATAAGGACAATGCTCTGATATTCTACAGTTAGCTTAACTCATTTTTACACGGATCGCTTTCCGACCCCACGAAAGACTGCCAGTAGGCCAAACTCAACGTAAGAAGTGCCTGATGATGACTTATTGCACAAACTGAAAGAGCTGATCCAAATGCAAGAGGAGTTTGCATTTCCCAGGATCGCGGGAAATATTCGATTTTGAGCTCGCCTACTCGCTGGAAGCTTTTCAATCACGGTGAAATTTATTACTATCCAGGCAAAAAAAAAAAAAAAACTCGATATCTTTCAAAACTTTAATTCTCAACAGCAACTTTTATTATGAGAATGTTGACTGAGAAATGAAGAACTTAGTTCACGAAGCTTGGCTGTGTTTATGAGTGTGTGTCAAGAGGAGGGGTGAAAGGGAAGGGGGTCATCCCCTAACTTTTCCCAGTGCCAAAACAATGGCTAGACAGTTGTGGCCACAAGCATATTCTGGTCAGTGCGGCGGTGAATACAAGCAGCATAAGTGTGCCTGAAAATCAATCCTTCTTGCTTGTGCTTCATGTTACGCTACACAAGCTTTACAGCAGGCTATCACATTGCAATCACTACATCCGTCCCAGAGATGCTTCTTTGCTTATTACTCTGAATTCCCAGGAATTTTTCGTACTGCCCGATGACTGCAGCCAATGCGGCTAACAGTGTTGTGTGATTAAAATGTTTTCCAGTCTCTATAATTTTCGGAAAACCCAACGT